TTTTTTTTTTTGTGGATTCAGTTCGATGCAGTGAAAGCTTGTCTGGAATGCTACATGTCCAGACTGCTTTCAGTTTGCTTCTTGGGCAATCCTCAAAAAATGAGCTGTTGTCAGTTCGCCAGCAGATGAGCGCTGCTACTGACAACACACTCGCGCCTTTCCGACGATTGATGTATGAGGAAGTAGGAATTTTAAGTGGTTTTTTTGCCACTCTGCTGCATTTGACGATGTGCTTTCACCGCAGTCTAAAATCCATTGGCTCTCAAAAGCTTGACTGAGGTTATTTGGATTTAATATAAAACGAGACGCTATTACTAGTTTTTCGTAACGCAACTGTTTCTTCCAGCAAATATTGAAATATCGACAATATTGCCACAACCATCTATCGCTGCAAATGTGGTGCCAGGTTGGTATTTCGGTTTACTGAAACAGCAGATCATCGCCGCCCTAAAATGCACTTATACATTTCTGACTGTGTTTTGAATGCTTGGGAAATATTACTACTGTGTAGAATTTTAGGGGCCATGATAGCAGGAACAAATGGAGTTCAGAATGAGCTTAAAGATCAGAAGGCAACGATCACATTCAAAGGAAGCATCAGCACAAGTATTAGTACCTTCGGTGCACAGAATGTAAACTCACCAGGTGTGAAAATTTTTTTGTATCGCGCTTTATTAACTGTGTAAGTTGCTGGATAGGTTTTTTGGTTGTCTGGCTCGTCGTATGGCCACAACAGCCGAACGAAATTTCTGGATCTTTAAAATCTTTCGAGGACAATTCGGTGTTTTAGGTTTGAGTGCGACGATGTTCCAGTTTTCTCCACTCGTTGAGCATTTCTTGCAGTCGATCACCAAATCGCAACAGACTAATGCCAATTTGCCTTTGCTTGTATTGGACTCCAGTGCCAAAACACCGAACGCCACGGATACTCCGGATCTCTTCAAGGTTTCATTTTGCTTCAGTGATCGAAAGTGCATCCACTCAATCGCTTATCGCAGTGCGGAACTTCTAGGTATTTCAAGACGACAAAGATGTTGCGACGGGTCAGCAGCAACAGCAACAACAACAACAGCAACAACCTACATCACAGCCATCAACTTCTGCTTATAGCACTCACCAGGTTTTATCGGATTATACACAAGTGAGTGTAAATGGCTACTCCATTCTGTGCTTGGTACACACCGTATTTGTTGCCAGAGTGTCAGCCGATCACTTTCTTACTTGCTCTTTGTGGCGAGCAAATCGAATTTTAATCAGTCAAGGCGAACCGTGTGGCGTACTTGTGATCAGTACGGGAACACAAAAATTCTCACGTCTGAACGCACGTCGCGTTACTGCCATACTATAATCGAAGCTGATGCAGTTCGCGTACTCTGAGCTTCATGAGCTTCGGTGTGATTCTGGCCAGCAATTCCATGCTTTGCACGCATCTTACGCTGTTCAGTGCATTCACTCTTATCTCTGTCTTTAGTCCATCGGGCATCTGCTCACTTCGAACGATAGCTTTCGATATCGAGTTGCTGGCAAACGTCGCTCTTACCATTTGCCCTGTGCATACAGATTATGCAAAATAGCTCATTTAGTACAGTAATTATGTTGTTTTTATGTGTTTTTTTGCAGCAATGCAATGCGAAAAACGCATATTGACGGGAGGTTGTCTGTGTATGCGTGTGTGTGTCTGTGTGTGCGCTGGGCCTCTGTACCGATTTTTCATCTCGAGACCGGCAAAAG